TTCTACGATATCTGTGAGTGAAAAACAGGTGAGACCCGGCAAAGTCTGACGGGAGTTGTGGCAGGTGGATTCCATGGTCGAGATCAAGCACAGTGATCTTAGCTCTCAAGAAGCCCTCGCGGCGTCAGCAGACGTCTCAGATGATAGCAAGTACAGGCTCGTCTACAGCAAGAGCAAGGTGTATGTGAACCCGACCGCATATGCGCGCGACAACATACCTGGGTTCGTGGCTTTGGTGAAGAAGGTCAGTCGATTGCCACCCGCGAGCGCGGCGGCCATTAACCGTCATGGTAGGAAGCAGCCCAGCCTGTGTACCTGTTGGCTTGGATTCCAGAATCCCTACTGAATGAAAAGGGGCAGACGGAGTGGGACAAATTCGTGAAAGTGGAGGAACATGCGGTCTCGGACGATGAGGACGAAGGTCAGTGCATACGCTGCGGTTCCACTGTCTGTTACTCATGCCGCAATAGATGCCGTATTGATTGACCTTCCCGTTCAGAGGCCGGAGTCTTATGCATTCTCCGTCCCTCTTACCTCAATATACTCGCTCATCGTCAACCCGCCTTCTTTATCCTCATGGTGTAAGTATCCCTAGCTCCGGTACTTGAGCACGTCTAACGCAACTGACTAGACGGGTCGATCGCCATTAACCTCATCAGTGGATCTACCCTCCCTACACTCCACTTCCACGATGATGAATCTCGTTCCTTCACAATGCCTGCTAAGTCACCCATCGAGCCGCGGCCTATGTCTTACCCACCACCTCCATCAGAATCGGCGCCCAAGAGTAGCACTTGGGGCGGCGAGGACCTTCTTGCAAAACTGCGGTCCTATTGTCACATCTTGCGCTCCTCCTTGCAGTCCAATCTCTATTTGATCGATCCTTCTCGAGAAGACATTGAGACACACTCGACTCCTCTCTTTGCTGATGATGCGGTCGACGATATCCTAGCTCAGTCCTCTTACGCGAACTCGCATTCTCCTGTGCCTGCGCACCGCCGCCCAAGACCTCTGTCGACCTCAGCAACAAATCCTTACTCCGAGCGGTCTTCGATCCTCCACAAGTCTCTCTCTCCAGTCTCGTCTTCGTCCGCTTCTGCCTCCCCGGCCAGAATGGCACTCTTGCAGTCATTCTCTCACATCACTCGACACGCAGCCCATGCAGCGCAACAGATCCTCTCGCATCCCCTGGCTAAGCCTATCGTGCCTCATCTGCCTGATCCAGTCAAAAGTCTCGTAAATGCGAACGGCGACCTAGAATGGGGCAGTTGGGTAGAAAAGGGTGGCGTCGGCGAGTTCGAGAGCGCAAGAGTCTACCTGGCTCGGTGGGCGCGCATCGTGGCCGAGGAAGGTGAACGGGCGCGGTTGCGGGAAGCGCAGGCTCTCCCGGCCGGGTCTTCTGACCTTGCGGAGGAAGATTCATCATTGGGGATATTTGAGCTACTTCAGTCCACAACAAATCTGCCGAGGCCGAAATCCTCTAGGGACCCCCATCATCCCGTAGATGAGAAAATGTGGAGGGGCTGGTTCGACGCTGAGGGGTGCCCGAAGGTCCGGAAGGAGGAGATGCGGAGGGAGATCTTCCGACGAGGCATCCAGCCCGACATTCGCAAGGATGTTTGGCCGTTCCTATTGGGCGTGCACGGCTGGGACGGCGATGCCGCTCGGCGGACTCGCGAATGGGAAGATAAGCGGTACGACATTAGAACTGTTCACCGTTTCATAGGATGTCTGATCTATATATTGTTTCAGAGATCAATACCGTCGCCTCAAAGACGAGTGGTGGGGTGTTCCTGAGGTTTTTGAGCGGCAAGATGTTATCGAGGTCGGGTCGCATTCTTGCGGTGCCTTCTGACACTCACGATTGGTTGCAGGAGCGACATCGTATTGATGTCGACTGCCGAAGGACAGATCGTTCTCAGCCGCTTTTCGCGCAGACGACGCCTTCCAAGGAAGACACAGAGAACGAGAAGGGCATGCACATGCGATATTCCACAATCTCGCCGCAGCTCGGAGACATTGGCGCGCAGGCTCCCACCAATGAGCATATCGAGCGACTTGCGAGCATTCTCCTCACGTACAACTTCTACGAGAAAGAGCTTGGTAAGTCTGATTTGGCCATACCCGGCGCCGGTATCATGGGCTGACCATCCAATGAAGGCTACGTACAGGGCATGTCCGACCTTTGCGCCCCTGTCTATGTCGTTATGGGCGGTGACGAGGAGATGACCTTCTGGTGCTTTGTGAAGATCATGGAGCGGATGGTGCGCATCGATCTCTGATTTTCCGCCTGTCGGTCAGTTCACGGATGTCATGTTGCAGAAGCCAAATTTCCTGAGAGATCAAAGTGGGATGAAGAAGCAGCTCTCAACCCTGCAACAGCTGATCTCGGTAATGGACCCTGAGCTGTACCGGCACTTCGGTAAGCGTTCACACTCTTTCATGAAGAATCTCTCAACGTAACGCCGGCCTGACAGAGAAAACCGATGGGCTGAACCTGTTCTTCTGTTTCCGGTATGCTTCCTCCCGGAGTGCGCAGTGTGATGTGGTCCATGTTGATACACCCTTTAGATGGATTCTGATTGCATTCAAGCGGGAATTCCCATTCGAAGACGTCCTCAAGTTGTGGGAAGTACTGTGGACGGATTACTATAGCACGCAATTTGTGCTTTTCGTCGCACTTGCTGTGCTTGAGTCACATCGGGATGTGATACTGCGCTATCTTGTGGAGGTGGGCTCTTCTCTCTCCGAGCTGATCCAGCAGTATCGCTCACGCGTCGTCCCTAGTTCGATGAGATATTAAAGGTACAACCTCCATGAGATTTGAGACGTGTACACAGCTGACAGCTGCTGCAGTATTGTAACGAGCTGAGCATGTCGATCGAATTGGACAGCACGCTCGCGCAGGCCGAAGTTCTGTTCCTCTCGTTCTCACAGCTCGTCGCCGATATCGACCGAAGGGAGGCGGAGACTGCCCCATCGGCGAACAACCTCAGACGACGGCGCAACGACAGCGTCAGTGCACCTTCTCCCAGTACTCCAGCCCCGATCAAGCGAGCGGTCATCAGTGAGGAACTGAGAGAGCTGTTGAAGGCAGGGCAGTAGTTTCATGTATTGTACGTTATCATCTCGGACAGGTTGACTTGTTAGATCAGGTGTACTATATACGAGCGTACATTAGTGGATATCATTGTATGGGAATCGATATCGTCTTGAGCTCGAGAAAAAAGGGCAGAGTTTCTGTTCGATTGCAGATGGTCTGAGGTGCGTGTCTGGTCCTTGTCTGCTCCAACATGGGCTAATTCGGTATATGACACTGACAGACATGACGTAGTGCCTCGACCACTATTTCACTCTTCACGTCGACAATACTTATAAGAAGAGCGATGGTCGAAGGTCCGTCCTCCGCTACTTGCCCGGTGCTGCCATCATGTCTTCCATCCCGACTGTTGGCAATCGCACTACGCTCGCACCGTCTGTGAAGCAGCTTCTCTCCAGTGGACCCACCTCCGACCTACACTTGGGTGGAGTAGAGGCTTACCAGGAGGAGCGTCGACACCATACTGAGATCCTCGGTTGGCATAATCTCTCTGAGGAAGCAAGGGCTAAAGCACCGATTGAGAACGTCGAGTTCACCGCCGTCAGGACTAAACACGGAACCATCTCCGTCCGCATATTTCACCCCCAAAGCGGCGAAGAGCGCAGGAAGAGAGGCGACGCAGGTGCTCTCATATATATGCACGGAGGTGAGTAGGACGTGCGGTAACTGCTCAATGAGGCAGGGCTTACAGGTGAACTTGATGCGTCGCAGGAGGGTACACTGTCGGTAAGCCCATCAACTCTGCCGAGGCAATACGTTGTTAACACAAACATAGGATGTGTCGATGACTTCGAACATGGTCTTCGTGTTCTCGCAGAAGCGTCGGGCTGTCAAGTTTACGCGGTGGATTATCATCTTGCCCCGGAGTACCGCTATCCCACCCAGCTCGACGAGTTCTCCGCTATCGTGGATTGGGTCCAGGGTCCAGAGGGCAAGAAGCGCGGCGTGCACCCCGACAAAGTCGCAGGCGGCGGCGATAGTGCAGGCGGCAACATGACCGCTGCGCTGGCTCTCAGACGGCGTGACAACAGCCAAAAGAATATAGGTGAGTAGTTGACAAATTTCTCTGATGTTCAAGCTCATCTGGAGTGACAATCAGCGGCTCAATTGCTCGTCTATCCGGAGGCGCGCCTGCCCTTTGACACCAAGGCCTGCCAAGAGAATAATACTGGTCTCTATCTGGAAGCGAACGGTGTATTCTCCTTCGCGGACCACTATCTACCGCGCGGCGTGCCGCCGGCGACGCCTTACGTGTTGAGTATATGTGCATGCGTTGGTGTCCGTCAAGAACTCACTTTGCGACGTCATGTAGCTCACCTGGCATGCAAGACATTGACAACTTAAAGAATGTGCCGCCTGCGATGGTCTTCACGGCGGGTTTCGACCCCCTTCGTGACGTCGGCGTCGAATACGCCCACAAACTGCAGAAGGCGGGTAACGCTGTCCATTGGACGCACCACCCCGAACTGACGCACGGATTCCTGCAATTCGGCCCATGGAGCGAGGAATGCCTGAACGCAACAAAGGACATGGGCAGGGTTCTCGGAGACGCTCTGTACGGGGTATGATTGGTTTGATGATTCGGTATGTACGGATCTGGGTCGAGCACGGCACGATTGATACAGTGGTATAACATATGGACGGCCAGTAATCGAATGTAATCGTAATGAACGTGTCGAGCGTGAGGGAGGTGCCATCGTGAGATCGGCAACAAAAACGTCTGCAATTCCGTCACTGTGTGTCCTTCCGTCCGCTCTGGAATGGGCGGAGGACACGGATGTCGTCATTCGACACCTTCTTGAGGCTGCTATCATATCCTCACAATGGTGCGGACGAGGTGGCGTTGCGTTCGTGGACCCACAAAGTCTCAGGCGGTACTGCTGCCTGCGGGAGCAAAAAGCGTCACCTGAGCGATTCGAACACTCGCGGGCAAAGCCCAACCGCTAACAGCTATGAATAGCAGGCGATCCCGTTAACCACTCCGGCAAAGTGACTTACTCGGAAGTACGAGCATGTCTGTATATACCGTAATTCGAATCGCAGACACGACCCGTTAGTACTACAATTCGTGGAACGTCTATGCTGCTGTTATGACCCCCGCTCAAGCTGCCTCTGTGCTTGCCGCTTCCGCCATGAACTGAGTCATGTACGCGATGAGTTTGTCGACCTCTTGCTCGGTGATCGCGTTGTACAGCGAAACTCGGATGCCTGCAAGTGTTGTGAGCGGAGGCACGGAAAGTCTGGAGTGCATACCGCCAACCTCCGACAGACCTGCAAACACCCAGTCAGCGAATTAGACCACGGACAATGTCTAGGGCGGTATCGCTTACCTATGGCCCTTGAGGCCTTTCATGCCTTCCTTCTCGGCGCCGTCCAGGAACTTCTTCTCGGCGCCCTCGCCCAGGACTTCGAAGACGGCGTTCATCCAGCTCTCCGAGCCCTGCTGCACCTTCCTCCTGAACACTCCCTTCTGCTCACCCTCATGGATTGCGGCATAGAGCTTCTTCGCTTTGCGCCTGTTTACCTCTTCGTAGTAGGGTAGACCGCCGTTCTGCTTCATGCGCTGGAGTACCAGGCCTGCCATGTAGATCGCGAGTACCGAAGGGGTGTTGTAGAGACTCCCGGAGTCCGCGAGCGTCTTGTACGAGAGGATGAGGGGGACTGGGGTCGCGCCCAGCTTCGCTGCGGCATCTACGTCCACGATGCAGTCCTCGCGCACGATCAGGATGGTGAGACCGGCAGGACCGATGTTCTTCTGCGCGCCGGCATAAATGACGGCGTGGTCCGCGAGGTGGGGGATCGGGCGGCACATGAACGACGAGGAGTAGTCCGCGACGAGCGGCACGAGCTTGTCCCGCTTGAGGAGGTGGAACGGGAACGCGGCGGGGCTCTGCGGGTCGTGCGAGAACTCGACGCCGTCGACGGTCTCGTTCTCGCAGTAGTAGATCAGCGCGGGGTCGTCCGAGAACGCGAACTCGGCGTGCGGGGGGATGTTGTCGAACGACCGGCCGTCCTTCGAGTACACGCGCGCGTCGACGACCGTGCGCACCGTCGCGCCCGGCGCGAGGCGCCGCGCCTCCTCCGCCGCCTTCTTGCTCCACGAGCCCGTCACGACGTAGTCGAGCGTCGTCTCCGCCGCGCCCGCCTGCGGGCGCAGCAGGCGGTGGCGCGCGAGGAGGTTGAGCACGACCGCGGAGAACTGGCCCGTGCCGCCGCCCTGCGTGAAGAGGATGCGGTGCGTCGGCGGGACGTCGAGCTGCGTGCGGATGTTGCGCTCGAACTCGTCGAGGAACGCCTGGAACTCCTTCGAGCGGTGCGAGATCTCCGCGATGCCCATCCCGGTCCCCTGGAAATTCAGCAGCCCCTTCTGCGCCTCCTCGAGCACGGGGAGTGGGAGCGCGGACGGGCCTGCGCCGAAGTTGATCACCCTGCCGTGGTCAGAGCTCATTGTGGACGGGGTGGTCGAAGAGGGGAGATCGTCGTGGTGGGAAGGATAGAAGATGACTATATGGCGCTGTGGCTTTGACTCCGAGGGCGCGAGCGTCGCCCGAGTCCACGATCGCCAAGGATGGGTGTATGGCGTGAGTCACAAAGCGGGAACAGACCTCGTCTGAGGCCGTTGTGTGAGACGCGTGGTCGGCAATACACTCTATATCTGCATCTCGTTTCACCGGCGCGCACGACCTCTGTATCGGCCATTGGACAGAGGACGCTGGCGCTGAGCTCGTTCTCACCCGCGCTCCGCGACTCGGACGGTAGCAATCATGGCAGACACAGGCACCGCACCAGAGTAGCGCGTCATTCTCTATAGACGATAAGTAGTATTCGTTCAACGACGTCCAGATACATGCGTACATCATCAGCTAGTACATTAGTACGTGAAACTCGTAAACAGCAGCAGCAAATAGCGATATCGACAGGAACGACGAAGTGTAACAGTTCGAGAGCGCGGGGCAAGGCAATATAAGCGAGGAGTAGAGGAGACTGCAGAGTAGAGAGGACTATAATGGAAGAGGAGTTGCAGGTATGTTGCGTATATAAGGTGAAGGGGTGATGTTCGTTGAGAACAATCAGGAAGAGAATCAAAAGTAGATCAAACGCTGACTGAACGTCAATTCAGCGGCAGCGATACATAGGACGCCACAAGGGTGGCGGGAAGGGATTAAACGGATAAGGCAACTGTGTCCATCGGTACGATAGCAGGGAGACATCAGCATTGGAAGGCTCGAGATCTTGCGGATGGAGATGGGAAAGATGGAACGGTGATGGTGTGACAGATTGAAGTTCGTGGCGTCGTGGCCGTACACGTATGTGGCAATTGTTTCGTGAAGACTGCTGTGGCCAATAAAGATGATGTGCATGGGAAGGTTGGATAGATGGATGCGATGCGTTGATGTTTGAATGCGACGATAATGCTGGGGAACGATTCCAAGGACGGATGGCAGAAGACGAGGACGAGACAGCGGCGACAGACGAGCGTCGGCTTCACGGCGACATGTCGTTGTCGGGCCGGTTCGAGGGATAGTCGATGTCCGACGGGAAGATCGGATGTAATGCGTGGAAGACTACCTCCGACGGATCGGCGCACTGTCGCGGATACGGCGTCTGCGGCATCCCATCGAGCGATGCGAATGGGAAGGAGATGGGCGTCGGCGACTCGGCGCGCTTGGGAGAGGACTGCGAGAGCGGGTCAGAGCGGAGGGACGTCTTGCGGCGCCGCACGGGCCCTGGGCCTTCCGACATCGCCTGGTAATCCGCGTTGAGGAGCGAGAGATCAGCGATGTCCCAAGGATCGGTGAAATCAGGCTGGATGGTCAAGGCAGATATCCATGGAAGCTCGTCGATGGAAGTGATGGGTCTTGGGAAGGTATTGATACAGCACTCTGAACGCGCGGTGTGGCGGCGGCGAGTAGAGCGGGATAAGTTAGAGGAGAGGCCTCGACGCCTCTTGGTAGGGCTACACGGAGCAGGCTTAGATAACTGGGCGCATATAGTCTGTTAGTCGCAGTGTGGGCGGGACGCGCATATAGTCAGCCCACCTTAGGGCGTCCTGCATCCTCCGGCAATCGGAAAGGTGATAGGAGCCGTGGGGGGCTCTTGAGGGATCGAGGATCCGGGACGAACTGTCGAGGAGAGCGTGAGATGCTGCGCAGACGCGTCGGACGAGCCACTCACGTAGAAGGGGTCGTCTGCGGGATCGCAGGGCGGCGATGGGGCCCTAGCGGTAGAGCGATTGGAGAGCTTTGTGGGCGCGGTGCGCGGCTTGGGCGAGGCGATTGGGACCATTGTGGAGGGCGTAGCGGGCGACGAGGGCGACGGTGAGGGCGCGGAGGAGAGGACGCGGTGCTGGGAGGCAATAAAGATAGAGCAAGGGAAGGTGCGGGAGGGCTTTAAATGAGCTGGAGTTGGGAGGTCAAGGCAAGAGACGGGCATGCATGGCGGGGAGTGACCCGAGAAGAACAATGGGGAACGGAAGAGAGAGGCAAGACGCGCGACTCGCGTCCTCCCCGTATTTACTCCTCCCCCCCGTCACGCCCTTGCCGCCCTCCATTTTTCCGGGCTCTTCCTTCCTCTTCTGCCCTCCCTCCCTCCCCTGGCCCTGGACCCCTCTCCGCACCGTCCTCCATTGCGACCGCAGGGGCCGCGCGCACAGCGCACTGACCAAACGCGCCGTCCGTTCCATCCAATGCGCCGGCCAGAATTCCGTGACAGGAGGCCCGCGCACGCAGACGCAGCCAACGCAGCCACCGTCGCGCCTGTCACGCGGGCGGTCACGCGTCTCCTGTCACGGTGCCGCTTAGCCACACCGCGTCGGCGCATTTTAAGGTCGCCGCGCTCGCCGCTGGCAACCAACGTATGATCTCAGCCGCGTTCATGTGTGCGCGTATTCGAAATACACTTAACCTACTCAGTTTGTTCCCATGTACACACGGACAGTGGCCGAGGTATCCATTGTCCGCCTCCTTGGGCAAGGCGCACAAAAGAGGGTTGTCACCGCAATCAGCACTGATCGCGATGCTGTCATCCGTGTTCGTAGCCTCGTGCAGACGCGAGATCTGATGCCCCTTGCACGCCCAGATCTGCGGGGTTGATAATAATCGGCCACGCGCGATCATCCACGCCCTGCGTCACATCCCAGCATCCGGTTATCCGGCGCGCGCCTCCAGGGAAACCGCAGCACGTCCACACCCTTCGCGGACCGTCCCTGTAACAGTCTAATTGGTGCGGATGTGCCACAGACAATCGATGCGCTACTCACCTCCTCGCTTGCGCGTTGCCGACTCTCTCTATTATCCTCCATCCGAACTTCGCGTCTGGTCACCCGACGCTCCTTGCTTTCCGCATCGCATGTCACGCTCTCATTGTGTCCGGATGCCGCGCCAGGGCGAGACATGTCGCAGCTTCTAGGCCACCTGCCATATGCGAACGAACTTTAGTTCGACTCATACAGCTAGTGCTTCACACACGTACCAAACGCGTACAAACGTACTTCCTGCAATCAGTCGACTCAGGTCGGGCAGCGCTGCTTCCTCAGCCTTCGTAAGATTTATCAGGTGCGCCACAGGCGCAATCTCGGCCGTCTTCGGCCTCCCAGGAAGCTATTCGTCGGACTAATGCACAGAGTTCAGCCTGAGCGACGACGTCTTCATCCAGTGCACTGTCGTACTCGTATCCGGATGCTGCCACGGCCTCCTATTCTCCGGGCTGCGAGACTCGGTGCGTCTATGCCTCTCCTGTGCTTCATCCTATCCGTGTCCTCGCATCTCCATTTGCAGCGAAGCATGCATTGACGTCGGCCATCGCCAGCTGCCCAGCGCCGCCCTCTCACCGGCGCAGCATCATCATGCCGTCGTGGCGTCGCACAGTACATTCCTTCGCGACGTCACTACTCGTCTCCACCACCACCGCCAGCGCACCCGCCGCCCGCTCTCGACGCCGACGTGGCCTCGCTCGACCGATGGATCAGCGCTGACAAGACCCTCGCCTTGCACGA